GCATGATTGTGGATTATTTAATTGGGCCCTATTTTCTCCCCTTACGTTTGAATGGAGATGCTTACCTACATTTTTTGGAATAGGAGCTTCCCCAATTTATGGAAGATGTTCCCATTGGTCTTCGAAATCCCTCTTGGTTTATGCACGATGGCGCTCCTGCTCATTTTAGTGTGATAGCAAGAAATTTTTCAGACGTAGCATATTCCCAACGATGGATAGGAAGGGTAGGCACTGAGCATTGGCCCACGAGGTCACCGGACCTCAATCCCGTCGATTTTTTCTTCTGGGGACACCTAAAATCACTAGTTTATGCAAACCCCATTGAAAACGAGGAAATGTTGAGGGATCGCATCATATCTTGCTGTGAAACGATAAGAAACACTCCGGGCATTTTTCAGTGGGTGCGGAATTCTCTGATGAGGAGAGCAGAAGCTTGTATTACTGTTGGGGGTCGTCACTTTGCTCAGTTGTTGTAATAGTTGTTTCGTTCAATTTTTATATGTTCATTTTCCTTATAAATAACATAGTACTTCTCCGAATTGTTTTTTTACTAACTCCGAAATGTAGCACTTTCTAATTGAATAATTGAATAATTCAGTTCAAAAGACGTTTAGAATTATCGTTTATTCAAATGTTTTGAAGTTTTCGAGTGTTTGCCTTTCTAATCGGTAGTGTATGTGCTCCATTTTCCTGAAGCAGATGTCATTAAATATACTCCAATCACTTCACGAGACGGATCTTCTCTTGAGAACAGTCATCAAGAGAGCCATATTAATCACCAAATTTATCAAATGTTTTTCGTGCCCAAAAAATATTTTTCTTTCTATCCAAATGGTTGACGCAAACATTTCGGGAAGCAATTTATATCTTGTTCGTTTTTCTACGAATCTGACCGCTAGGTTTTGTCGAAAACATTCGTGTAACCTTATTAATACACGTCATTTGAAATTACTGAATTTTTAATCTACCAGATATCCTCGATTCATGACTGTGCGTTATTGCCAATTATCTCATTTGCTGAGTAAGTTAATGAAATTTACGAATCATTGAAACTGAATGACCATTTCCAGATTTCATTATTCATGGAGTTGAAACATAATATTCAACCAACAATCTTTCGTTCATGATGTTGGAACATTGCAGAAGAAGTTTTTCAGTTCATCGGCTATGATTTTTTATATTTTGTATGAAGGTGCTTTGGTAAAATTGATAACCTTAGGTTTATTTTCCTTATGTATCTTTATCTTTGCGTTGAGTTTTGGTACTTTTGGTTTGTCGACTTTGTATCTGTTCAATATTTTTGTTTGTTGGATTTTATTAGGCTATTAATTTGTCTTTCAAGTTTTGTGGTTGGATCGTGATTCATCGTACTAAAATCGTTTTCCGTTATGTAATTGTTCACTTTCATACTTAATTCCTGTTTTTCAATTATAACTGTAGCGTCACTTTTGTCGGCTTTAACTGCTGTGAGCAGTTTTGAGCTTGGAGATAGGTTGATTGATTTCGACATAATTCGATTAGTTAGATCTATTCATTGTGAGAAGATATTGTTTTATCTTTCGTTTGAAGGTCCGTAATGGCAGAGGTTAATATTCAATGGGTATCCGATTATATGAGTAGGCAATATGATAAGTGAAAGATCCGCGAAATAGAGAAGTTTAATGTTGTGGTATTGTTAAATGTGTACTGATTCTATATTCAACCAACCCACATCCCCGAAAATGTGTTCTCGTTTCCTCATACCCGTAATGAGCCTAATGCATGCATTCAGGAGCTTTTGGATTCTAAAACTATCACTCTTCAAAATTCCCGGACCATACACCACGTCTGCGTAGTTGTTATAATGGCTTTTTATAAGAAATTTTAGAGGAAATATACATAACGATGTTCATTCTATCTTATATTAATGATAACGTTGGACGAAAACCTATTAGTTGAATTGTTGACACGATGTTCAATGTCCATCTGCCCTCAAGGTGAATGTGGATTTGACAGTTGATAAATATAGGTTATGGACTATAAATGTTTTCTTTATTGTCCGAAATTTCGAATTCACAATTTTGATTCCAGTAAATTTATTTGGCTAACAAAATATCAGTTGCCACTCAAAATAATCGAGATACTGTAAGCTATGGTTACTTTTTCTCCAGGGATAACTTTGCTTCATTTAGAAAAAATATCAAATAATCCTCCTGATTTCTATCCTGGTGAAATTATGGTGGAGTTGCATCTCATCCTCCAATGGGCAAAATCAAAGTAAATGTTCCAAGAACCCATTTTCTTAGCATAACTTCCTTTTTTCCGATAGTTCGGAAAGAAGATGTGATTATCATGCAAAGAAGTAATTTTCAGACAAAAACCGATTTATACATTGAATTATACAAAAAACAGTTTTTTCTATTCATTGTGCATTCCAAAAATTCACAATTGAATTGAATCAGATATAATTCACAGGATTGCTACACAATATAGGATGTCAAAGAGTCACAATAACAAATTTCTATTGAAGACGAAAAACTATTTTCCCAAAAACTTATGCCTCCGAAAAATATACCCCTTTCAATTTGAACAAGATTCTCACGGCTGAGAATCAATAAAATAAGTATGACTGTCTTCATGTACTGTCATCGTGACGTAATATTATACTCATAATGATATTCAAATTCAATTATTATCATGATGAATGCGATATCATAATTAATGCGGTATAGATACGTATATGAGGGCAAAAGAGAATTGAAACTTTCTATGTTTTCTACCACTTCCATGTGTAACCAACGTTAGTGCAATTTCGTCCTATAAGGATACTTTAAAACTTATACATAAACCTTACTGCAGTTCCGTCCTATAAGGACATTTTCAAACTTATACATCAATGTATAAATGTACATAAGGACATTTTCAAAGCTTATACAAGAATGTATAAGTATACATCAATGTATAAGTTTGAAAATGTCCTTATATATGTATACATTCATATATAAGTCTGAAAGTGTCCTTATAGGATGAAACTGCAGTAACGTTAGTTACAAATGTTACAAATAAAAGTGGTAAAAAACATAGAAAGTTTTAATTCTCTTTTCTTCATTATGATTTCCTACCACGTAGTAACGGCTACATCCATCAGTATATGAGGGCTTTTATTGGCAATACATGTCAATAAAATGACTGAAGATAAGGAAAACTTTGAGGAATTGTAATAACTATCTATGAAAGATCAATAATAATTTCTCATGTCTGTCGCACGATGAGTAAATGTTCTCGGTTGACCGAAATCTAGCTTTTTACTTTTTTTTAAAGAAATTGTGGGAGTTGACCATTTTCAATTCAATGACTGAAGATAAGGAAAACTTTGTGGAATTGTAATAACTATCTATGAAAGATCAATAATAATTTCTCATGTCTGTCGCACGATGAGTAAATGTTCTCGGTTAACCCAAATCTAGCTTTTTACTTTTTTTTTAAGAAATTGTGGGAGTTGACCATTTTCAATTCAATAGGAATACTGAAATACTTTTGGTTTTAAATAGTATGAACATCGTTGAGAAATTGTTATTGTTACAAACGGGACACGAAGATAACTATCCCCTTTTCGAATAATGAAAATTGAGAATTGTTCATGTACGCTTTTTTGTGCCTCACAATCAATATGTTCCAAAATTTTCAGATTGATTCGGTCGTTACGATTTGATCTTCACAAACTTTATTTGAAAAATTTATCACATGTTTCGCTAACACAGTAGCTTTATCAAGAGATTTGTTAAAAAATAACTGCCTAGTATATAATATACTTGACAGTTGGTAAAAAAAACCTGTTAAAATCTGTGCCTTATGACAATAGGTTGAAAAAATCAAGCAGTAAATCTGCAGCTCTAGTTATTACAAGCATATTTTATTCTACAGGCTCCAGCCCACTCTCTGGTACCTGTGTTACAGATATAGTGTGTCTCAGTAACGAAAAATTTGATTTGAACAAAAAACACAGTTTTAAGTATTCCTATTGTTACTTTTCCAACGCATTATGGAGTGAATAGTATCTTGTTGACACATATGCACTCTTTTCCGAAATTTTTCATGACCATTTTGCATAAATGTGGTTTTATTTGGTTGAAACCAGAGCGAATGGGGGCTTGTTGACATACATTTTGGACTTCAAATAACTCAGTAAGAAGAAATCTAAGGGTACTGTATCATACAATTCAAAGGACCAATTCTGATCACCGAAACAAGACAGTACCTGGAAATGTTTCACGCAGTATATGTAGCACCATCTTGTGGAAACCACATGTTGGTCACATCAATATCATTCAGTTTGGCACGGAATACGTTGTGAATGCATTTGTTTTTCGACAATAACATGTGCACTTAGGATATTTGTGCTCAAGAAATCAGCATCCACTTAATGCTATTTAATAATACATTCATCAATTTATTTCCTCAGAGTATCGATATTAGCTTCAATTATTGTCTTAACTGAATTTTGTAAGCATGAAACCCAGATATTTGGTGAGTACAGAAAGCTTCTTGAAATTTGCACGTTACCACACTGATGTTCCTGGATGTTCAGCAATACTCCCATACATACTGGACGACCAGTATGTGTCTCTAATGGATCCAGGCTCCCTGAATTTTCAATTATTCTTTCCGCAGCTGGGAAAGTCGGAACTCTATTCCGACTTTATTTTGTCTACCGTCAAATTTTCGTTATTTTTCAGATAATGTTCAACAATAAAAACATGTTGTTCTATCGTATGATGCTCCATTTTCACTAACCCCAAACTGTCAGCTGGATAGGTATGTTTTTTAGGGTTGTCAGCACTTTTGTACACTATTGTACAAATCACGGAAAATTCAATTCTTGCATCAATTCAGGCACGACCTAATTCAAGAAATAAGCTGTGGTGTCTCCAATCTCATTCTTCTCTACCAGCCTAGCTGCCGGCGTATCCAAAATTCTGAGCACAAAAAGAGGTTATTTGCAATGTCAATGAAATGCAGTAGATCAATAAATTAATTTAATTTTCGAATTGATTAATTCTTTCTTAGCTACTTTTATCACAGTGACTTTATCACCTAAACTGGCTAATTTAAAATTAATACTGTTATCATTATTACGACTAGCATTCAATACGGGTACAGATAACCCTAGCTTTCCGTTGATGATCACCTGGGCCACATATGCAGCATCTTCGTATGGTGGCAGAACTCCCTCGAATTTCATTTCCTGCGAAACCATTTCGTTTTTTTCCATCAGTTCTTGAAGAACGCCTGTATTTTCGCGGAGTTTCTCTACTTCTAATGCCAAATCGTTTACCTTATTCATTACATAGGTCATCATTTGACATCGACAATTTGAATATATTTCAGGCTTGTCTTTTTCATTCGTGGTGGATTCGGCTGAAGTATGTCGTTGCGTGCGCAGTGTTATAGAACAGTGCTTTAAAAAATTGTTCCACAGCGCCATCAAGTGGCGAGTTACAGAAAAATTGATAGCCTAAAAACCTTCTCTATGAAAAATTACTTATTCATGTCAAGTCATCACGATCGGTTGAGCGATGTAGAAGTTTATCACATTAACATTTTTTCTAAGCTTCGCAACCTAATATGTCTTTATAACGCTGGAGTAAATCCCCATTTTGCATCGTGGGCTCCCCTCCTATCACAAGTAAGCCTGGAGAATTTACCAACTATAAAATATGTCCTCAAACGTCTAACTCAACCTTTTATCTGATAGTTTTCTACAGCAGTTTACTTGAGAAACCAAAACCGGTCGTAACAAATAAAAAACTCAGTAGAAATTAGACAAAATTTATTTTTTTCATCCTATATTTGAAATTAATTTCTAGGTCACCAATCGAACAAGATAATTTTTTGAATATGTTTCTGAAGCAATAAATAAAAGGAAACTTATACAAATATACTCCACCAAAAACTTGTAATATTACGAAAAAGTTGATAACAAAAAGAATTAGGTAGTTTTTCAAATAGCTTCATGTGTACTAAAGACTTCAGTTTTGCTACGCGGTCAACGTTGATAACCCATTATCTATTAATGATAAACCACATAATGTTGCGACATAAAATATCTTCATTTTGTGTTTGTAAACAAAATCGAGCAATTTTTCAATACTTTTGAATTATGTTCATTATTCATTCATGCTCATATGATACATATTGGAATTTTTCTCTAGTTGTAGCGTTTGCCAATACCGTAATGCCTTTATATAAAACTACATCCAATTTTATTTTTAGTTTAATGTTTCAAATTTCATTGGAATATTATTTCTCCAATCCACCTTTTATTTGAAAAAAAAACAACAACCTGATGGGGTTCCTGAAAATTTTTAGGTTGGTTTAACAGGATACATGAGAACTGGAAACGAATTCAATTTGATAATTGTGGGAAATTTTGGAAATACTGTACATAATTGAGTGCAGAATTATTTGAGATTGATTGTGATATCTCGAATACGATGAAATAATATAATCGACACGTAATTTGAAGTTTGAACCAATTTTATTAGTCATCATTTGAAAATAATTTCAAACTAAAGCAATGACTGTTTTTGCCACTCCGGAAGTTAAAAGAAATAAAGCGACAAAGCGAGTACAATAATGTCTTTAATAATCTCAGTTCTTTGAATTGATTTGTATTTCATGATTGTTCCAAATTTCATTATTTAATGTAATATTCAAAATGTTTATAATAATAATATAACTAAAAATATATAAAAAAAATAATAATGTCTAAAAGAAATGAAAGTGACAAGATGCTAAAAGATGAGACATTATAGAATATGTGATATATGAGCAAAAGATATATTCAACAGGGGTAAAAGAGACACTAATGGAATGAAAGTTCATTCAGATTGATACATTTTTATCGACGTGATCGATCTGAAAAAATCCGTAATTAAAAACTTTTCAAAAGAATAACGAGCCGAGAAGAAGAAAAAAATATTCAATGGGGTTTTCAACATCATAAAGGGCCCTGTTCTGAAAAATCATTAGTGAAAACCTAAATTGTGAAGAAAATCTTTGAATAATTGGTCATATTGAGTCATGGCCGGTGAGAAGCCGCTCCTTCAAGATGTGCATTAGATGTGTAGAAATCTGTTATCAGTTTGTTAAAAAAAATATATGTGGTACAGCAAGNTTGCATTTAATTTTCTTCAACTATGATTTCAACAAATTTCGATGAAATTCGATACCTGCTGGAGCAGTGGAGCAGTCAGAATTTGATGAGAAGTCTAAACTTGAATTGGTGGATAACTAGCATATTCTTCAAATTTCACTTTAATAAAAACTTTTCAATGACGAACTGATTTTGTTGTCATTTTGACCTTGACCATTTCAATGCTTAATGTCAAAATGACATTCAGTAGTTTAAAAAAACATTAATCAATTATCTACGTCACGAAGAAAAAAACATTCTAATCCACCTGTACATAAATATTGAGGATGTTTCCATTCAAATATAATACTTTTTGAAAATAGTTTCATTTTCAAAAGTAAATAGTTGAATTTTTTCATGGTAGCAAAAACATAATTTTTCAATCAATCATATTATTTTCTTTTTCTGATTTATTCTGCCGTAACTTGATGAAGTTCTACAGTAATTTTAAAAACTACACCTCACGATTTGATCTCCACAAACTTCATTTGAAAAATACAGGGCTATTCAAATTCGTTTCTGTACATAGGGATCTCGTAAACCATAAGACAAAGTTGCGTATTTCAGAGACCTATTCAATGATGTAAAAAAGTCGAATATAGCTCTTTTGGTTCTGGAGATATACAGGAGAAACCAAAAAATCCCAAATTGTTTTTTCACCTATATCTTCTTTATTCGCAGAAATATTGAAAATATGTCCACATTCTGCTATTGGCACTTGATGTGGGCTCTCAGAATATGTCCATGAATCTTTTATACAGGGTGTCATCTGACTTGGGTCACTCCCATCTTTGAAGTTTTAAAAACGAACATGTATTTTTTGTTTCGCCGACGTTCACTTCATACTGAGAAATTAAATTAAATTTTATATTTCGGGATGTCACCCAATTTCCAGGGCCGTAATTTAAAAGGGAATAATTCACACAATTATAATCAAATATTACGGAAACATCCCGAAATATAAAATTGAATTTAATTTCTCAGTATGGAGTGAACGTCTACGATCCAAAAACTACAACAAAAAATACAGGTCCGTATTTGAAAATTCAAAGATGAGGGTGGTCCAAGTCAGATATTAACCTATATAAAAGATTCATGGTCATATTCTGATATTCACATCAAGTTCCAATAGCAAAATGCTGAAAGATTTTCAATATGTCTGCGAATAAAGAAGATATAGACAAAAAATAATTTGGGATTTTTTTGTTTCTCCTGTATATCTCCAGAACCAAAAAAGCTACATTCGATTTTTTACATCATTGAATAGGTCTCTGAAATACGCAACTTTGCCACGATTCAAACGACACTCTATCTCCCATCGTTTACGAGGTTCCCATGTACAGAAACGAATTTGAATAGCCCTGTATATCACATGTTTCACTAGCACAGTAGCTTTTTTAAGTGATTCATGATTAATCACTTGAAAAAGCAACTGTGCTAGCGATACATTTTGTGATATATTTTTCAAATAAAGTTTATCACATATTTAATAAATATAAAAGTGGTAAAAAACATAGAAATTTTCATTTCTTTTTTCATCATGATCTCCTACCACATAGTAACGGCTACCTCCATCAATTTATTTAATAAATTTTTATCAAGCCACAATGATGCGTTGCCAAGCAACTGATTTTTTGAAAGAAATAGTGGGTGATACAGGCCTGTTGAAAATGTTTAGAGAAACCACATTAGTGTACAATGATTTAGTAGTTTATTGTTAGAGAGTATGCTTCAAATGATACCTTGATTTTCATCCACTTCGATTTACATTAAAAAAAAATTAATATGTAACGTATATTCTACATGCAATTACTTATTTGAAGATACTAACACGTCAAATGTTATTCCAAACAGTTCTCCGATTGTTTGTGTCACTCAAATCATTTTTATAACATTAGGGAAAAAGCTTTTTTATATTTTGAATTCAAAACAAAATAAAATACCATAATTCATAGTTTGAATAAAATATGTTTTCATAAATTCGAGGATTATCCATATACCCAGCAAATACGCAATTTCCGGGCATACGGTATAACCGAAGTCACTATTCGACAAAAATAACCCCAACCTCATTCAAACAAAACTCACCCCTCACGTGAAACTCTCCATTATCGTATCTATACCCCAGCCTGTCCTTGATGACGAACAACCAGTAGTTAATCACATCACCAGGTTTCAACTTCGTGGTATGATCCTCGAACACCCATTGGCCGTCGGTCTTGATCAAGATGTCTCTGGAAAACTCACCGGCTTCCAAACCGTTCATGGGCTTGTTGAGGCTTCCGTGGAACGCGAAGAGCTGGATGCCATCCTGATCCGGGATGCTGACCCGGAATCCTCTGGGAGAAAGGACCTGGATCCGCGGTACCGGAACGGTGAACTCTTGGCTTATTGCTGCAGGAAGAGCCACCTGCAAGACTAACGATAAACACAGTAACCGTTTCATTTTGTTCGATGTTTTGGGCTTGTGACGAGACTATGCAAGTGAGGGGTACTCTGTCGTTTTATATTCATGAATCGAAAGAGTCTTATCTTCGACTGCCGCGCGAGTGAGATCTGGTTTTTCCGTTGTGTATTCGTGCGGGGAAACTGTACTAAAATTCCAAAAAACGCAATTGGCAGGATTTTTGTTCGAATGGAGAAAAAAGGGGACTCATTTGTAATGGGACAGTGTGTGTTATGAGTAATTTTTGTCGTTACAAAATTACTTCATAGTTATTTCAAGATTTTTTCACTGAAGCTACAAATTCAAACTTTTATTTAATAATATCAAGATTCGTTTTCAGCCCTGGAGGAAATTGATATATTGAAAAATAGATTGATAGATGGTAAAACAAGTAATATCATTCAGTTTTTTTTCAACGAATATAAATTTGTATAAGAATAATTCATTACAGAGCATAAATACCTGAACTGGAGATACAACTATTATACAAACTTTATTGAAATTTCTTGCAGTTTCCATCTAAATCTCTTTGTACCTCTTCATGTAGCACGACCATTTATTGAATAGCATATCCAATTGCACAGGAGCATTTGCTGAAATATTGTTTTTACACAATGACACATAATAACTGAAAAAAACTCTGATGAATATGCAATGAAATGTCTTCCATGAAATCAACTGCAAGGGATTTAGGAAATGTTATGTAGGACAAACGGGACCTTATCTGAGAAACAGGTTGTCTGAACATGAAAGAAATTCAAAATAATAAATATTGTCAACCCAAAAGCCCTCTTTGATCTCATTAGAGGAGAATGATAACAGTTTTGACTTTGCAAACCCCAATATTCTGGATATTCAACCTTTATTAGTGAAAAGGCATAGAAGAATTGAATAGTGCTCATTTCCATTTATTGAATCAGATTCGTTAACGTTATGTTTCAAAGGAGTTTCCATCACTCTTGATACTCTGATATTTTTATATCGTCTATAAGTTTAAGAAAATGATTGAAAAAAATCGTCCAATTCTAATTAGAACTCTCTCAAGCATAGTATATAGATACATCACTATTGTGCCTGTGATTGTACGATATTCATGTTGTTAGTCCCTTATTTTTGTTTGTTTTCGTACCTGTTGTCTGTTAAATACTTCTTCAATTTTTCCAACATTAATAAACTCATGTTAGTTAAGTCCCATTTCATTTTTTTCTTCTTTCAAAATATGTAGATTGATAAATTATGTCATATTGCAAAATGTATTGGCATGTATGTTGTTTCCTTGTAGAAATATTTCATTGCAAAACCATAATGATGGATTCAATAAAGTCCGAAACATTATCAAAAAGGTAAATTGTTCATCTACAAAACTTTTTGATTACTTTTCCAACAATAACAACATTTGATAATGTCCAAATAATCACTAAACCTCTCGAATGTGCTTTTTTGCATAATTTTTTCTGAAATGTCCTACGGTCTTCAAAGTGAACTCCAGCTTTCTCATTCGACGAGATATAACCACTGTTGTCTTAGAGCTGTTCAGAATTAGAAATAAACTTATTTAAAAAAATTTCTTATCAATCCGTCTGTCTATTCATCTGTCCGTCTCTCTGTCTGCCCACAATAGCTTCTTCAAGCGTGTATAGATACGCCTTCTTCATGCTATTTGAAACACGTGTTGTGTTTTTGTAAAACAGTTTAGTAAAAATCGCACAATGAAGTGTTTCTTGAAAACGAAATGATTACATTTAACATGAATGGTTGTTTCACCGCTCGGAGATCTGGTTTTTCCGTTGACTGTTGCTGTGGAGTGGATTAAAATTCTGAAAACCGTATTGGTAGAATTTTCGGTTTTGTAATATTGTAATATTTGTAATAGGATATCGCATTTGTATAAGTAATTTCAATAGAATAAGTAATTACATGACAAAAATAATAATTTTCATTCAATAGCGTCAACCGGGACCCATTTGTTTTGGGGGACATGAGATAACTATGAAAATAACTGGATGAATCTTTTTACCATCTTGTTAGGCAACCAAACATATAATGCATTATAAATTAGCATTTGCTTCAGTTATTTGAAAATTCATGCTGATATTCTCCGAGAGAATCTGTATCTGTATCTGTAGAGTAGGGAGGGTGAGTGTAAGCCCACGCACTTAGGCCACATGTGATCAATTTCTCCGAGAGAAATTGATAGAGCTTTTTCCCAATTTAGTTGATTTTTGTGGATTATCATTGATGTTTACGAAAAAAAAATTACTCTGCTTGCGGAAAGAACATCTAAGTTTTTGAATAATCTCGTGTACATACGTTATATATTGTTGCTGTATTTAGGATTGAAATCAACACTTTTTCAAAACCGTGAATTTTTTTTAAGAAATCACTTACAAGTATACAGAGTGAGGAATATTATTGATGTTTTGTTTTATTCGAATCATTATTTCTCCGAATAAAACATAATTCTTCAAATGTCACCTTCAATTTAATAAGATGTAGTAATTTTTTGTCAAAATGTATCCAACATATTTTTCAAACATAATTTCATTTTGATCTGGAATATATTAACGAAATTAGTCTATTTCTAATAAGTAAGAGTCGGAAAAAAAGGGAATTAATAAGAATGCGATAAAAATCATGATAGATAAAATTCTTGATCCATCGGTCGGTCGGTAGCCGGTCGGTTCGACGTGTTGGTCTGTGGTTCAAGCCCCAGGCTGAACGATCGATTTTCACTTGCTATCGTCCAAACCGTGTTAGGGATCACACGTTAATAGGTAGGACCTCGATAGTCCTTAGCTCGCACAAGTTTCAACTTCTGAGAGTTGTCGTTCGTAGGGGTGTGAAAGCTGGTTAATTTTAAACAGATTAAACAGATCATGTTATGTACAAAATACATTTATGACAAGTCCAATGGTAAATAGTTTTAAGTAAAATACAAGAAGTAGATGTGTGCGTAATAAGATCTTGTATGTATAAAATATGTGAAGATAAAAAGATAATATAGGTATAGATGAAATGTATGAAGATGAAAGCTAAAAAATGGTAACCGTGTATTAGATGGAATGTCTAGTAGAAACTTCATGAGGTTGATTCAGATACAAGTAATACAGTGCTATGTAGTACTTGATACTATACAGTGGATTAAAAGTAAGTTATAACAATAATACAATTCCGAAGTAAGATAGCAAATAAATTATTAAGAAAAAATTAAAATGTATAACAAAATGAACTAATATAATTCTTACAGGCAAGTAACACTAGACACAATACCACAACACAAGCAGAGAGTATTAGATGGTTAAGTGAAGAATATGATTTTTGAAGCGGAATACTGATATATTAAAGATTTGAAGGTTGTTTAAAGAGTTAGCCAATCTAAGACTTCTGGGAATAAAGCCGTTATATGAATAATTGAATCTGTGAAAAGACACGTAAAACGTTTGCACCTGTCTAGTTGAACGATTGGGGACATGTAAAGATATTTTGGAGAGAAGCTCGGGACTGATACTCAGTCCGTTGATAATTTTGAATAGAAGTATAAAATCTCTATGTTTTCTACGAGTCTCAGAGAAGGTATGTTCAAAATGCATTCCAATGCAGTATAGTCATAGTATACACGCATCGTGAAGGCAATATATCGCAGGAAATTGTGCTGTACGGCCTTGAGTTTATTTTTGTGTAACGTAGTGAGGGGACCAGACTGTGGAACAATAATCGAGATGAGATCTAACCATGGAAAATTAAAAAGATTTAATAGCAGTGATGTTGGTGAAATCACGAGTGGTTCTCTTTATAAAGCCAAGCATCTGCATAGATTTTTGAATTACAGCGGAAATGTGTGATTTATAGCTGAATGTGGAGTCTAGGATCACACCTAGATCTTTGGTTTCAGTAGCTGAATGTAAGGTCCGATTATTCAAATACTATATTCAAAAATGATTGGGTGATGTGTTCGATGAAAGCAAAGAATTTGGCATTTGGATGCATTCAAACACATACCATTTTGCGAACACCAGTTGGATAGGCAATCTATATCGTTTTGTAGACACAATGTATCAGTTTCACTTTTAATTATTTTGAAACATTTTAAATCGTCGGCAAATAGCAAAGCCCAAATGTGAACCTTGTGGAACACCCGATGTAACTGAGATGGTATGAGAATAATAATGATTAACTCTAACAATTTGTGTTTTTTCCGTAAGATAGCTCTTGAGCCACTGCAATATTTGCCCATCAACACCATATAAACAAAGTTTGTGGATCAATAGCTTTGGAGAAATCAGTGTACACAGAGTCAACTTGCAAACCCTTAAACAGAGCGTCAGACAGAAAATCAACGTAGGTAATTAGACCCAGTTCAGCTGACTTCTTGGATGTAAATCCGAATGGTTCGGTCCCTATAATTGGGGAGCAGTAAGGTAATTAAAAATGATGCTTTCAAAAACTTTAGGGATTGCGCTAAGAATAGAAATTGGACGATAATTACACACGTCGGATTTTCGACCTGATTAATATATTGGGGTGACATATGATGAGGTTTTCCAATAGTACAGGAATTTGCAGATGATAGGGAATTATTGAATATATAGAAAAATGGTCGAGCTAAAAGAAAGCTAAATGATTTAAGAAAAGTTGGAGGAGGTTAATTTATTTTTGGTAAGAAATTAGATACTTATCAATTGGAAATTGCGTTCTCTGAGTATTCTTCTACCGAATAAAAATTGAAATGTACTAAGAATTGTTTCATCTTCCTTTTCAAAGGGAGGAGATCGAAATTCCCCCATTCACGTGATAGCTTATTGTACGGATGCAAGTTCATATCTAGGAGGCCTCATATGGTCTGCTTTTCTGGTTGAATAATTGTGGAAATCGTTATTTCTAACAATTTAAATTTTTCTTGTATGCATTTCGAAGAGACTTTGATTGATATAGACGGAAGGAATACATAGAATCCTAAGCTTCTTGATGCATTCTCGGCATGAGGCATCATACGGGTCATCAGCCATTAAACGAATAGCACGTTTTTAAAGACGAAAAACTCTAAAAGAGTGAGGGGAGTTTTCCCATAAAATAATTCCGTAATTCAAATGAAAGTGGA